TGTAAATAAAAATATATTTTTGTGGCATTAAGAAAACGCAAGATTAAACTATAAAATAATTAAATTATGACTACGACGATGTTCAAATCCCGCATGCAGCTACCAATTTTTCTACAAAAACACGTAGGTCCTTAACAGGCGTTCACCAACAACTTTCACGATGAAGAATGAAACGTAGCATAATAAAATAATTAAAGGGGAACAATTTTTTATTTTCGTAATTACTGGTGACAGCTAGGAATATTCTACTATAAATCCGTACAGGCAAGTACAAACTATTTTCCTGAGAAATAGTCATTTGATTTAGTTTGAACGATCGGACAGAGGCTACGCGATACAATTGAGAGTTTCAGCTCATATCTTAATCTGGGGGATGGCTCTGACATCACGATATCTAAGGAATCTTTTTTTATTTTTTCGGGCCGGGGCTGACTCGCCTATGAGGTTCCCGCGACTAGGGGGCGCGCGGCGTATCTTGACGATCTGCAAGGAACCCGAGCCCAAGGAATTTTAGGGCTCTACCGCACTAAACGACTTCCCTACACTCTTATACTCGACGTGCGATCTCTGTCCGAGGTCAGAACCCGGTTATCTAAGGCCTCAAGTCAATTTTTCAGATGACACACGAAATCATCTACATCTACAATAAAATATTAACAAATATTAACAAATAACATATATTATTTTATTTATTTATTTATTTATGTACACACAGAAAACAAGACACAGTACAGAGTAATAGGAAAATTATGTACAAAGGCACTGCTTATTTCTTTGAGAAATCTCTTCCAGCAGACCTGCTAGAGGATAATGAGAATAATAATAAAAAGTGATAAGTGTGTGTAGAACAAATAACACATAACTAAAATAACAAATACAACATGAGAATTATAGCACATACACATAGCAAATATTATAAGTAACACAGTAACACTCGTATATGCGAAGAGTATAGAACCATGATCATTCGGTTGATGATAGATAAAATTGTTTGTGACCTTGTATTTAAAAACAGAAACAGACTTGCAAACTCGGATGTCAGCCGGCAACGAATTCCGTACGACGTATTCGTGTAACGAATATATTCGTGTAACATATCGTGAATTGCATTTACGATCATAACGATAGTATTATTTATGCTTTTCAGGAATTCGCAAACTAGCGTAGCGTTCTGCCTTTGAATACAAGTAGGTCGAGGAAGCCGGCCCGTTCTTTGCCGGAGCGGGCATAATGGTTGCTAAATGCCATCCGACCTGGAGCTCGACAAACATTGTTTATTCAGTGCATTTGTAAGCTTTTCCCGGGATATAATGAACGTACATGCCGTTGATATCTTTATTAGTTAACATCGGTAGTTTATTAATGCGGATTTTGGGATGAAAAAACTAATGAATTGATTTTAAATTATGTTAATTTACTACTTAGTAACGCGTAAGGAATGAGTATATCGGAGGAAGTGTGAAAGTAGTCCCGGTAATTAGCAAATTAAAGAGCGGACGGTTAGCGTGGTATAAACTTGTGATGCGTAGAGAAAAGATGCATGTGACTAGGAGATGTATAAATGGTAGTGCAAGGTAGAAAAGGAAGAGATCGACAGAAGAAATGGATGGAGTGTGTGAATGATGATATGAAAGAGAGAGAGGAATGAGTGTTGAGCTGATGGCTGGTAGAAGAGAATGGAAGAGAAAAATTAGCTGTGTCGACCCCACCTGTGAGATAAGGTGAAGAAAAAGGAGAATACTTAGTAACGCATCTAGATTAGCATACTTATGAGTTTGAGCATTCCTGATGTTAAAAGAGTAATGGACCATGTAGGTAGCACATGTCGCATACCATAAAACATTTGACAGAATTCTATAAGTTGGATAAGGATAATGAATATATTTTAATCCTTTAAGCAAGAACGCTTGTTGCAAGATTCATGCTGGTAGTGTTTGAAGATCAGGAGAAGAAGATAGAGAAATTAAATAGCAGATTCCTAGGGTCGTAGTGTTGAGCAACTGTCTCGACAGCCCCAAATGCAAGATAAGTTGATGACTCGTAAAAAAAACTAACGCTTTCTTTTATAATGACATCATTTGTATCTTTTGTATCTAGCTCAGATATTATGTGTTTGGTTAGCAAACTAACCTATTATATTATGTCTATTTCCGTGAAGCAGTCATGCGTTCCTGTTGAAAGGACGGTACAGCCTATATACGATTCCTACTGTGACCGCGTTCTTACCCCGGGCGGAGATCGGACGCCAGGTGAAAGAGTGCAGCCCCTCAAGGTTTAGTGGGTAGTGTCCTGAAGTGTATCCCCTTAGGCTCCCAACATCTGCGGACCGTCTAGACCTACATACCCTGCGCGCGTCCTAGGCGCAGGGAACTCATAGGAGATTCGGCCCAGGCCCGAAAAAATAAATAAAGCCGTTATACGATACAAACGTGATTTTGACCTCATGTATCAAGCTCGGTGGCGACATTTATAATTTTTATAGAATCCGGTTTAAACTAGATGGGCTGTAATGCCGTTCACCGATTTACGAAATAATAAAATTAAAACATGAGTTAATGATTGATAATGGTTTTCAGACAAAAACTGTTTGTGTTTTACTGAACTAAGGTTGGTACGACAAGAGAGTGTGAGCTTAATTTAATCTTGCGCGAGCAGTACGATTTCCGAACACACAGTCTTTGTAAACTTTTTTTCAATTATTAGTTGTTATTATCAATATTTGAAGTGATTAATGTCAGAATAGTATTGAAGTCATCCTGGCCTAAAGGTTAAGACCCCCGGTGCATTCGTATCGAGTCATGCCGTTGCATGGCCGTTGTCTTCGAAGACCGCAGGAAGTTATAAATTTTCCTAATGAAATACGTAATTTACGAATGGTATCTACGTTGAAGGAATAACATCGTGTAACAAAAAGAAAACCTTCAAAATTATAATTCGTATAATTACTGGTAGTAGGACGTCTTGTGTGAGTTCGCACAAGTAGGTAACACCACCCTGCCTATTTCTGTCGTGAAGCATTTCGGTTTGAAGGGTGGGGCAGCCATTTTACTGTAAAAACTGTGAGACCTTAGAATTCATGTCTCAAGTTGGGGGCGGCATTGACGTTGTAGATGTATGTAGTCTCGGATAATCACTTAATGCCAGGCTGGCCGTGAGATCTTCCACTCGTCTGATCAATAAAAAAAAGAATATTTATTTTATGGGTTTATTAAGAAGGCATAAGTCATCGAGGTTTTGCCGGATGCAAGTTATTTCCCTATCAACCGTCCGTAGTATCAGAAGCTCTTTTATCGAAATCAGTGTTGGCTGAAGCATTCATGTCAACAGTTCAAGTGTACTGAATGCTCTTGAGTCTCATTGAGGTATTATGAATTAAAAAAATAGCGTAACACTTATTTTATTTGAATACTGGCTGAACCGGCAGACTTCGTAGTGCCTCAATCGATAAATAAAAGACCTAAGTTTTTGTATAAAATAAACTTAAAACAAATAAAAGGAATCCGTAAGAAGGTTTACCAAAGGTTAACCAAAATTGTTATTTTTATTTAATTCCGAGCATTTTCATATTTATTTTAAATCTTTTAAACCTTCTCTGGACTTCCACAAATAACTCAAGACCAAAATTAGCCAAATCGGTCCAGCCGTTCTAAAGTTTTAGCAAGACTAACGAACATCAATTCATTTTTATATATATATATATAGAAGAAGAAGATTATAGATTATAATTGATTTCAAAACATTCGTCTTGTTGTGAATACTTTGCCAAGTCACACGAAAAACGCTATAAAAAATATCATTCATATACTCAGACATAATAATCACCTTATTGACTATTTTTTTACGTTTACAAAAACATCATACTGTATACGTCTTGTTTCCGTGAAACTGTATATCTTCGGTTCTACGTATAGTTATTGTTTAGGAAAATGTGTCATGAGGCTTGCAATCAGGGGTCGTTATACTAGAATCACAACATTTGTATTTCATTGACGAATGAGAGACTATGGACCCAGATGCGTAAATATATATAAGAAAGGTACAGCCTATGTTATGCAAAATTATAAGTTTTTCGTCATACTTAATAATATTGGTAACGTAAATATGGTTTACTGCCACCATTATTACCATATTTTAATACAAGTTTTGGAAATGAAAATAAATAAAGATAAACAAATAAAAAAATTTTAAATAGCCCAGTATTATTCCGCATTAGATACGAATCAGATATCAAATATCATGGTTATCGTGGCAGGTATTACGCTAGAAACATTAATCAGATTTTATTTTGAATATAGTTGAAGGTTTCATACACAAAGGTTTTAATTATGCAAATAATGCAAATGTCTTAGAACCTTCAATCAAAGTTGGGAATCGATTGAGAGCTCGTGTTGTGCTTGCTGCGTGACAGCGTGTGGTGTGGTGGCAGTGCACGCGGTTGCAGGCCGGAGGCCGAAGCCTCAAAGGCGCGGTGCGGCCTGTCGGTGCGGTGCGGGTTTGCGCGCGCAACGGTGGCGGGCGCGGGCGGTGCGCGGGTCAGTGGCGTGCAGCGCGCGCCGCGGACGCCCGCACCGCAGTGTCGAGCAGGAGCCCGCCATGCCCGGCCCGCGCCTCTCCCGCGCAGCCTGACAGCATGGCCTACCCGACCGCCACCATCACACGCAGCCACGCTCTGACGACGGTACGCATCCTTATGACACCATCGCGCGACCAGTGACCGCGGCTTCGTTTGCCAAGCATCGACCTTTGGCCCTTGTTGCGCCATTCGTTCCTCTATCAGTGATAGTGAGCACGACTTTCGAATGACCAGTGAGAGCCTGTCAGCGTAAGGGTTTCGTTCTTATTCGATCGTCTGCAGACTGAAAGTAGTTGGCGCGAGTGGTGCCACGAGGCCCGCTAGATGGCGCCGAAGGTCGTTCCTGCGGCGAGCGCTTTCCGCCCGCTCCCCGCCGTTACCGTCGCCGCCTTTTGTTTCGCGCCGTTCGTGAACATAAAATAATAATTGGCAGGCCGGTGGTGAGCACCGCCGGTCGGCGCCGAGCCGTCGCTGACGTCAGCGGAGCCCGGGCTCGAGCCGGGGTCCCGGCATCCCCGACCTTCCGCCACCGCCGTCTGCGGCACGCTCGCCACACGGCTCTGACACGTCAGGATCTACACTAATCCTCCGCCCTTCGAACGTGCCAAATATAACGTCTAAATAACTCACAAATAGACTGAATTTCAAAATAACATAAATATCTAATCACCTGTAACATACTTTTAAATATTCCAGTTTTTATATTTGTTATTATTCCTACATAATTTCGTGACGCACAGCAAATGTGTGGGTTTCATTCATGTAACCCCGGAGAGTTAGCGATTGATCTGCACTTGGCAACAACGGTGGCGGCGGTCGCGAACGGTCCTTAGTTCTTAGCTAACGCTCGGTGGATTAATTGATAAAATGTTGGGATTGAATACGGAAAATAGTCGTGGATTCATTTAGTCAAAGGAGTGTGGTGGGTAGCGAGCGACGCGCCGCGCCCATGCCCCTAAGTCTGGTGAGTGGTAGATTGTAAGGCTTCGTAGCGTGCCATTTTCACGGGAAACTCCGCGTAGGTGTATTCCGACACCTTAAGCCAATAACTTTGCTGTTCATACGAAATTGGATGAAAAAAAGCAGAATATTTACCATAAACTTTTTACGTTTTACTAACGAAAGCTTCGTTCGGGGTCAATAGGAGTGAATTCAACAAATATTGATTAGCTCACTAGCGTGTGCTGTTTTGTTTTCAGTGAAAATTGTTTTGTATTACTAAAATAGATTTGATAAGTTTTCTGTATTTTTTTTTATCGTACCGGTAAAAAGTCACCACTTTTCCCTTTATGCAAAGTTATTGTCTATGACTAAAACTCTAATAACACACTCGTCAGTGGATATCAAGCATTTCAAAATGTCTTGCCGTTTGAAATAATATCGATCCCGTGTAACGATGCGAGTAAATATACTGTACCGGCTGGAACTAATTGCATAGAATATGTATTACATATGACTGAATAATTAAATTGCAAGCCTTCGATGTGTGTGTGCTGCAACATAAAGATATTTTAATATTATAAATCTTGTTTTAGTTTACGGCAACATTGTTATTAGACTGTTCAAGAAGAAAACAGCAAATATAATAAACATAAATCGAACAGGTTAAAGGCAAAAAAAAAATGTAGAGTTTAATTCATAATTACAATTTATTGACACACAAAATGATTAAATTTGCGTAATTACTGACGGGAGTGCGTATTTTAAGGTCGACAGCTATATTTCGTCATTCTGCTTAATCTGCGGATAGCACAGCCGCTTAACGAGACGGTGAGACATCGACCTCATGCCTCAAGGTGGGTGGCAGCACTCGCGTAGTGAGGTCTATGAGTTCCGGAAACCACTTCATACCAGATCGGCCGTGAAATCTTCTATCTTATGACCATCATTAATTCCTTTTTCGAAAATTCCATGCTATTCTTACAGTACGATTCAAAAGTTGTAGATCAAACATAGAATTGGAAATGTTAAAGAATCTATTATTTTATTAACGAGTGCTCTATGATCGTCTAAAATAAACGATATAACATTTAAGCGAATCTCTTTTCTATGTGACATTCTTACCTGGAACCGTGCTACTCAAAATAAAATATCAAAGCATTCTTACGCAGTCTTCACCCACATCTATTATTATGAACTTAAAAGAAGGCCCAGATAACAACAAATAGAAATAAGACGATTTGTGTTTCTTTGAACAATCGCTTTCTTCTAAGCTGAACTTATTCTTAGAAATTTACCTAGAAATAACGGATTTAATAAAATCGATACTGAAGTCCACAAATACAACATTAATACCATCGGCCAATTTGAGATATAAGCTCAATCGTTTTGTAACGATGTGTGTGATTACCTGATGTGTATTTCTTTATCTTTCAAACATATGAATGCCTCAATATACAGAATAACAACCCGAGCGGGTTCACCATACGCCTGTGGCGGGTAGCCATCATAAAAAAACGCAAGATAATTGACAGATACTTGAATCTCGCTTACGACATTTTCAAGATAAAGCGCATATATACAGGTTCCGAACAACAACATTCGGACCGTCGGTCTACCGAGCAAATATCACCCGCTCGGTGGAAGATCTTCCCTTTGTCGTATACCTCCAAACGCCAAATATCCTTACAGTCACGCTTTGTGTCACCAGTACTTTTAAACACCGGCTATCGACACCAAGACAGGTAATTATCGTTTAAAAAACAATTACGCTCTTGTTATCTACGAACGCAACATTGGTCGTTGATAAAAATAAATAAATGGCTTTAGTGGTATTAAACACTATTGGATTTGAAATTAAATTCTTATAAAGACATTTCAAACCAATTTACAGGATGCACTATGTTGAAAGATAATACAATTATCCATCCAAGCATATGAGTTATGTGGTAACGAAAACTGAATATGCGTGACTCGAGTTGACTCGCTGAGTTCACCAGACTTAGCGTACTTCTCATTAAATTTCTACCATTTCAAAGAACCCGCTGATTACATCTTAACAACAAAAAAACACGTAATTTACTTGTTTAAAATAAATATTACATGTTTTTCCTTTTGGAGAAATTTTATATATTTTTAGTTCAGTATTTACTGAATTTAAAGAATCATAATAATTTTATGTCTGGCTATTATCAGAACATTACAATACTTTTATTGCCAATAATTTAGATAGATCAAGCATGCGACTCACCTGATGGTTAGTGGCTATCTCCGCCCGTAGAGTCCGTTTTCTACCAAACTCTTATTAACAAAGTACTGACTTAAGTTTTAAAACATTATCTACCAATTAACCAAACATTAAGTAAAGAAAGTCATAGTATTAGTGCATTTAGCAGAGACATTTGACATAAATCCAAGCATCTTACTGGTGGTAGGACCACTTGTGAGTCCGCGCGGGTAGGTACCACCGCCCTGCCTATTTCTGCCGTGAAGCAATAATGAGTTTCGGTCTGAAGGGTAGGGCAGCCGTTGTAACTATACTGAGATCTTAGAACTTATATTTCAAGGTGGATGGCGCATTTACGTTGTGGATGTCTATGGGCTCCAGTAACTACTTAACACCAGGTGGGCTGTGAGCTCGTCCACCCATCTAAGCAATAAAATAAATAAATATATATTGACATTTAATATCTACAAGTATCAAGTATATTGTTTTAGGGTAATTAATTCAATTCACCCAACAAACACTTTGTTAATTAAAGATTATCTGAAAATGTTTCTATGTACTATTTTTTCTAAGAGTAAGCATATTGTGGCACAATATAACTTAAGAAAGGTATGTGGTAGGCAGCGGCTTGGCTCTGTCCCTGGCATTACTGACGTCCATGAGCGACGGTAACCACTTACTATCAGGTGGGCCATATACTAATCTACCTACAAAAGTAATCTAAAAAGAATTGAGTGGTCATGCTCTAAATGATTAGACTCCAGATGTACTTGTAATATTGTATTAAGCAATCTCACTAGGATTCAGGTACCCCAGGCAGGTGTAAATTTTTCTAACTTTACCTTGAATATGTTCACAAACGACTTCCACTCGTGAAATAAAAATGCATAGCTACTAGCAGTACGTAATCTAAGTCCGAATGGGTAGATGTCACTATCTTTCTTTTTTTGGTCACGAAGCAGCTAAGCGTTTTGATTGAATAGCAAAACAGTCGTGATAGAATCAAATTTTAGTTTCGACTTCATGTCTAAAAGTGACTTCATATCTGTTCACGTTCTAATGTCTACGGTCTTTTGAAGTCGTCTAATATCGCATCGTATTATAATATTTAAAAACAAAACCATCAAGCTGTAAGAATGTTGATATGTCGCCTGAAAGCCTGGCTTGCTTAGAATAAACCAACTGTTAGACAGTTATATTACTATACCTTACCTATCGGGTGAATTGTTTTACTGAATAATTTTAACCCATTTATTTCGGTATTCCTCTTGAAATTGTCGCTAAATCGAGCCAGATTTCAGGTCAATCAGCAAATAGGACAAGATGCAGCCGTTTGTAATTGGGTCAGTTAAACACGAACGTTGGTGGATATTGTAATAATTTTTATATTTTTCAAAAATCCTTTGAGCAAAAAATATATTAAATTAACTGCAAGCTTTGCTTTGTAAATTCGAGCCGACTCATCGTTGATTCTTTGCCAGGCCGAATGAGAAATGATGAGAACATAATGCATTAATAGCTTTGTGCTACATTTCAGTACTTAACTAGATTAAATTTGTTAGCTTACAACAACAAAAACAATTATCTGGTAAGATATTGTTGTAAATGTTCACGATTGACTTCTACGGTGAAGGAATAACATCGTGTAATAAAAATCAAACCCGTAAAATTATAATTTGCGTAATGACTGGTTGTAGGACCTCTTGTGAGTCCGCGCGGGTAGGTACCACCACCCTGCCTATTTCTGCCGTGAAGCAGTAATGCGTTTCGGTTTAAAGGGTGAGGCAGCCATTGTAACTACACTGAGACCTTAGAACTTATATATCAAGGTGGGTGGCGCACTTACATTGCAGATGTCTATGGGCTCCAGTAATCACTTAACGCCAGGTGGGCTGTGGGCTCGTTCACCCATATAAGCAATAAATAAAAAAACTTGTACGGTAAACCCTTCGATCATCAATAGTAAGGTAAACCGAACTTAGGCGTAGATATATTGTTAGTTTGGTAAGGATTTATTTTAGATCAAATGGACAAACAATGACAAATATATCTAAGATGAGGTAATCGGTAATTAAACTCACAGACGAGTTAATTTTTCGAGGTTCGAATTTCGACTTTACCGCCCAAATAGTGGTGAGGATGGTACTAACGCTAGCTCTAAGCATGCTAAATTTAAAGCTATATATATTAAGCCATCGCTAAATATGTGAAAAATATATTACTACAACCACGCGTGCACCTATCTTAGATTTATTGTACTATGAATAATATCGACATTGAAAAACTAACAGCTAAAAAAAAGTTTTATTAATATTATAGTATAAAAATAATTCATCTTACAACACAAAAACATTCATAATATGTAGTTCTTCCGACCAGACCTTAACGAGTCTGAGGATATAATCCTTAATTCGAAATTTAAAATGGTTCATATAAAAGTGAAGAATAAATCACTTGTATATGATACATACATTAGAGCCTAACAAAGCTTAGTACTTGTTGTTCCGGATAATACAACGATCTCAGGATGTGATCAATCAGCGCCCGCGGTGTCGATTACTTAACAGTCTATTTGTATCCTGTCGGTGTCTTTATGTGTTCAACCCGTTGCCTTTAGAGATTTATTCTCACGTTAATCTAATTCAATTTAATTAGGTGAAAGAGATGAGATGATGAACAAAAACTATAATAGAACATTTAAAATTATACATATATATTAGTAGCGGCCCGCTCCGGCTCCGCTCGGGTCTTTAATAAAAATTTCAACGATATTTGACGTTATTTAATTTTTTAAATCA